ACCATCCTCACCTTTGGTATGTTTGAACCCATGACCTCTTAGGAGACTAAAGACTCACACACTGCTAGGTCAAAGACCCTTTGGTAGGGTAATTTTTCTTCCCGGATGAACATGACAACGGTCAAAAATCTTACCCGTTAAGAGCGATGATAAAGATGAAGATTTTTACTCGGTAAGTGAAGGTGGGTATATTATTGCACACGATACCATTTTGATGTACTACAATCTTACCCGGCAAAATAAATTACAATATTCACTCTTAAAAATAAGCGCTTACCAGATAAACATTTAAGTAAACAAAGCCTTATGCTTTTTAACTTATTTCAGTCTGGCACCGGTGATAAGCTATTTTCTGGTGTTTGGATAAGAAAAAAAAACTGCTTATACCGGTGCCAAACCGGTAATAAGCTGTTTTTGATAAGTTAATTCTTCCTGACTTATGAAAAACTGTTTATTAACAGTTTACAATTTTAACCCTGCTTTATTTAACTTCAATTTAATACCACATAAATTAATAAACATTTTAAAAAAAAACATAAATTATTTTAAATAAACAATTCCAAACTCCCCTAAATTTCTAAATAAAATATAGCTTGTTCCCATTTCTTCCATGTTCTTGATGATAAACTTTTTTATTTATCTTTTTTATTTATTTATACAACTGTAAAAGATGAAATCACATGCTTCTGGATTCCCTTTCAAGCCAACAACAGGCATGCATGGATCTTAATACCTTTTTTTTCATTTATTAAAACACTCAGAAAAAAAAATTCATATTTTATTGATTCAGATTTTTGACGATGATATGCCATGAAGCTAATTGATGACATGTCATTATTATTATTATTAAATTAAATTTTATCTAAATATTTTTATAATATAAATATAAATATTTATTAGTTCTATTATTGAAAAAACAAAAAAATAAAATAGTATGAAGTGATGTGTATAAATGTAAGTGGCTTCTAGCTAGTATTATTTATTAGGGATGTTTTGCCATACAATGTGGTATGGTTTATAATCAAAGTTGTATCTATATCCAATCGGATCGTTTACCTGATAAACATTTACCGGTAAAGTTTAACACTATCGTTTACTTACCGGACAAGATTTTATTCACTAAAACGTATTGTATGCAACAATTTATCCCGGTAAGCGCTAACCATGGTAAGAGTCTTTGTCCTCACTTATTGGGTAAAACTTGAGATTCTTGTTTTCGCTCTTAACGGATAAGATTCTTAGTCTTTGTCATATTCATCCAGTAAAGTAAATTGACTTGATAAGCGTTTACCCAGGTAAACATTTGGTAAACGGTACCTTAGCCTCTCTTTTTTCAACATATGCTTCAAACCATGTAATGATAATTAAAATACATAAATAATTGCATCATGATATATACCATATAAGTATTTACTGGTAAGAGTTATGACCCTCATTTACATTATCGAGTAACATTCTCGGTCATCAAAATTGATTGTTGTAAACGTCTTTCACCAAGTAAGCATTTATGGGATAATTTTGTTTTTCCTAAATACCAGGTGAGACTCTCGGTTTTGCTATGCCTCTTACTGGGTAAGATTCTTCATTCTTGTCATGCTTATTGACAAGACAAGTGACATCCGACAAACGCTTAGATGACAGTTTGGTAAATGACCCCTAAGTTTCCAATAAAATAAGTTATGGTAATGGTATCATAAATATGAACTTAGTGATAATACAATATCAAATGTCCAATATGTCTTCAACAAATGCTTTTAACGCTACAAATCCCCAACAAATGATTCCTCCACAAGCTTTGTCCCCGTTTGTTCAAACCCGTAAGCTTCGTCCTGCAACTGTTTCAAGTCTATGTACGCAAACTTTGTCCTTCAACTCTATTAAAACCCGCAAGCTTCGTCTTTTAAATATGTGCACATAAGCTTCGTCCTTCAAATATCTGCACACAACTTTCATATAAATTCCGTTATTCTTCAGCTCGACCTTTGTCACCACATTTGAACCTAAATAAGGTGTTGTAGTAGCGGTTTCACAGAGTAACATTATAAGAACAATGATGGGTTCTTGAAACATTAGATGACGATCGGAGATAAAGGAGAGAGGGTGGTGGTCTTTTGGTCACCAAGAGGGAGTTTGTGAAAGAAGGGGAAGAGTTCGTGAGAAAGACAGAGGAACCTTGAGGTTTGTCAAAGGAAAATAATGTAACGACTATGTCATCATACTTAACGGAAGGATATACAACTTATTACTAGGAGGGACCAAAACCGAACAAAAAGACAAAGTACAATGGCAAAATTGGAATGAACAAAATACAAGGATGAAAGCCTAGAAAATCAACAAAACACAGGGGGCAAAACAGTAATTTATTTTCTTTTCCTCTAACACTTGTAATTTCTTTTGTTTTGTTTGATACGTTTAATTAAATATTATATTTATATTTTTTGTTTTGCGTTAATGTTTGTTAGCTTTGAGATTATTATAAACAGAAATGGATTTGGTGAAGTTTCTTAGGGTTTCTATTTCGTCATATTTTTTGTTTTTATCGAAAAATTCTGAAATTCTGAAGTTAAAGGGGGTGTTTGGGATTGCTTATTTGAAACAGCTTGTGTTTTTCTACAAAAACATTTATCAACTTATTATAAGTCAGAAGAGTTTAACTTCGTTAAAAACTCCTTATTACCGGTTTGACACCGGTATAAGTTGTTTATCCAAACACTCAAAAGTTTTTATTACCGGTGTCACACCAAAATAAGGTTAATACGCTGTTTTTATAAGCAATCCCAAACACCCCCTAAATATGGACCTTAAAACATAAACAATAGTGGGTCCCAAAATTTTGGAGACCTTGTTTAAAAATCAAAATTTAATATGCTAATAAACGTCAACCACTTAATCATTCTATATCAAATCATTTAGCATTTGCCAAACAACCCCTTAGATTTGATTATGAGTTAAATAATTTATCACAATTTTTTTGTTTTGTTCTACTCGAAATCATTAACCATTTGCATTTGATGAACATCATAATATTTTTTAGACATCTCATGAAGAATACAACCATTACTGATTAAGAAATTTCATATCAAAGTTACGTTTTTTTTATATAATCGTTACAAACATATCGCTGTCGTGTATGTAATAATCAGTTTACTAAGACGTGTTTTATGATATAAAAAGATCGATAGAATTTTCGTAAATATACATTAAAACAAGCAATGGGCCCAGAAAATATTTGGTTTTTAGGAATTATGGTATTTTATGATGATGAATTTGTTTGATTGTGATTTTCCACCAAATCCTCTCAACCAATCCATTCAATTCTTAAATAAAAGAGAAATAAATGTATTTTATATATATCGAATTAAAAGTAAATTGACAGATCAAAAACTGTTTGTCCTTATGACATTTTCGGTCTTAGAAATTTATGATTTACGCTTTACTACGATATATAAAAAGTATACATTTTCAAAAATACATTAATCAGTTATTATGAAAATTATTTTTAAAAAATTAATCAAAAACTATTTGTTTAAAAGAAGTATACATTTACTTTGATATAGGATTATTTGATTATTAATTAAATGTTCAAACATTATTTATTAGTCGTATTTTCAAGAAAAATTACTATAATCATAGTACTAATTGATTTTAATGAACAACATAAACAAATTAGGTGTAATAATTAACAGAAAAACATTGCATTTGTTTTTTAAACAATTTAAAACTGTAAATAATATTCGTGCAATTTTTTGTGAGACAAGAACAATAGTAGTATAAGAAGACGTTTGAGACTTGGGATCATGTGAGACAAGAATAATAGTAGTATAATAAGACGTTTGAGACTTGGGATCATGTGAGACAAGACTATATTCATGAGACATGTGAGACAAGTTTTTATGCTTGAAACTTCACAGCAAAATGATGTGAAGGTATGAAATGTAACACTTTTTATTTTATGTTGTTCAAAAAAATACATATTTTTTAAAGTTCTCTTTAAAATGTTAACGAAATAAATTGTGTTCTACAGTTTCTTTAATATTGTTATATTAATAAATAATTCAAAAAAATCTAATTAATTTAATATATTTATACGTCAAGTAAAAGTTTGTGAACAAATATAATATAT